AATGTTTGAAAGGTTCACCACTGTTTTAGAATGTATCAGTACTTCATTTCTTTTAATGGCCAAGTAACATTTCATTGTATGGATATGCGACAGGGTTGGTTTTTCTAACTTTGCCTTTTGACAGTGCTACAACAGACAGTAGCTATTGTTATACATTGCTAGGAGTCTTCCACTTTTTAGGACATTTCCCCCTATTCCTCCATCTCTGGGAATAAGGTGGATTTTGTGAAGACCATATTTTTAATAATTTAATTTGAACCGTTGAAGAAGTTAACTAAACATGATTAATACACATTTCAGTTATGTTAGCATAGCTAACATAGCTCCTGGCAAGCACTCTTCTCTGAATTTGGCTATTTTTATGTACCTCATATAAGTGGAATCAAAATACTGGTCCTTTTGTTACTGGACTGTTTCTCTTAGCACAGTGTCCTCAAGGTTCATCCATGTTATAGATGCACCAGACTTTCCTTCCTTTTAAGGCTGAATAACATTTCACTTAATGCATATACCACATCTATCCATTTATCTACTTATCTACTAATAGGCCTTGGGTTGCTTCTGCCTTGTAGCTATTGTGAATAAGGCTGATATTAGTGTTCAAATAACTTAAGACCCTACTTCCTTTCTTTCTTCTTATTTTTTATCTTTATTCTATTTTTTCCATTGCCATATAGTCCCCTTATATCCCTCCCCTCAGCAGTCACCACACTGTTGTCCATGTCCGTGAGTCCTTTTTCATTTTGCTCAATCCCTCTATCCTCTACCCTCTCCGACCCCCCACTAGCTGTCATCTGTTCTCCATCTATGGGTCTGTCTGTTTTGCTTGCTAGTTCAGTTTATTACATTCCACATATGAGTGAAATAATATGATATTTATCTTTCTCTGATTGCCTTATTGTTCTCCAAGTCCATCCACACTGCCACAAAGTATACAATTTTCTTCTTTCTTACAGCCAAGTAGAATTCCACTGTGTAAATGTCCCATAGTTGTTTTATACCCTCATGTATTGATGGACACTTGGGCTGCTTCCATATCTTGGCAATTGTAAATAACACTACTGTGAACATAGGGGTGCTCATATTCTTTTGAATTAGTTTTGAATTACTTCCTTTGGATATATTCCGAGAAGTGGGATTGCTGGGTCAAAAGCCAGGTCCACTTTTAATTTTTTGAGGTATCTCCATACTGCTTTCCACAGTGGCTGCACCAGTCTGCATTCCTCCCAATAGTGCAAAAGTGTTCCCCTTTCTCTACAACAAGCCAGCACTCGTTTTTTGATAAGACCCTATTTTCATATTCTCTTGAATGGGATTGCAGGATCATATGGTAATTCTATTTTTAATTTTGGGAGGAACTGCCATACTGTTTTCCGTAGTGACGGCACCATTTTACATTCCTACCAAACGGTGCACAAGGGTTTCAGTTTCTCTACATACTTGCTAGTTATTATTATGTTCTATCTTTGTTTTAAGAGTAGCCATCTTAATAGATATCAGGTTTCCCTAATGATTAGTGATGTCGAGAATCTTTTTGTGTGCTTTTTAACCATTTGTATATATTCTCTGGAGAAACACTCAAGTTCTTAGCCCATTTTTTAATTGGGTGGTTCATTTTGTTGTGTAGTGCAAGTTCTGTCCATATTACTCCTTTGTCAGATATGTGGTGTACCAGTGTTCCATAGGTTGCTTTTGTACTCTGTTGATGTTTGTCATCTGTTTTTGTTGATAGTGTCTTTTTTTCCTTTTCAATTTTATAAATTTATTCGACAATCAGCAGTTAGTTTTTATCCATGTTAACTGTTTGTAGTTTTTTGAAAGTAGTGACAGGGACGTAGGTGACCAAGGTATAGAGCTTGTTTGGTGAATCTTCATCCTCATTATATTTTTTGGACTAGCACACCGGGATACAATATGTGACATACCTTATTCCTTTGGCTCAGACAGCTTTGTCCCAGCCTGGTGCCAATGCAGGACATCTGGAGTTCCCATCTCCTTCATGGCAAATTGTTAGGTTTAGTACCCTGGGGGCAGGCTTCTTGAAACCTACTCGATGGGTGTGCTTGTGAATGTTCATGGTGTGTTCACTGGTCACTATTTTATTGATGGCACAACGGCCCATCTTTGCGGGAGCCATTATGCCAGGCCCAAGTTGGAAAGGATAGTGAATTTCGATGCACAAATCCGATGTCTTTTTCTTCCTTGCCTATGCCTTTCGTGTCATATCCAAGAAATCCTTAATTCAGTGCTTTGAAGCTTTTGCTCTATATTTTGTTCTTAAGAGTTATATAGTTTCAGGTTAAGTCTTTAATCCACAGTTTAGGATTCTGATCAAGAAAGACTGAAGAGTTGTTGAATAAAGTTTTCTGTTCTTGCCAGATGCTTTGCTTGCTGGGACATGGGTTATTGGTTAAAGTCCTAGTATTAAAAATGGTATTTAATAGTATAGTACTACCAGCTTACTTAGCAGTTTTCTCTTTCTGGTTCTCATTTTATTTTATAGAAGAGGCTTACAATGTCATGTTGTTTGTACTAGCTGGTTTTAAAAGAGCCAGAATAGTTTTTATTTTTATGTTTTAAAACATATTTTAATGCTATTACAGTTGCCCCAATAATTCCCTCTTTGTCCCCCTCCACCCCTCACTCCCTCAGGCACCTCCCCACCATTGGTCATGTTCATAGATCACGCATATAAGTCTTTGACTACTCCCTTTCCTATACCCTACTTTACATCCCCTTTACATCCGCATGGCTATTCTGTAATTGCCTATTGTACTCTTTAATCCCCTCACTTCTTCACCTGTTCTCCCACAGCCCCTCCCATCTGGCAACCATCAAAACTCTCTCCTTATCCATGATTCTGTCTCTGTTCTTCTTGTTTGCTTAGTTTGTTTTTTGGATTCAATTGTTGGTAGATACGTATGTTTTGCTATTTTTTAGTTCATAGTTTTGATCCTTTTTTTAAGATTTTATTTATTTATTTTAGAGAGGGTAAGGGAGGGAGAAAGAGTAGGAGAAAAACATCAATGTGTGGTTGCCTCTCACATGCCCCCCACTGGGGACCTGACCTGAAATCCAGGCATATGCCCTGACTGGGAATTGAACCAGCGACCCTTTGGTTTGCAGGCAGGCACTCAATCCACTGAGCCACACCTTCCGGGGCTTCATCTTTTTCTTAAATAATTCCCTTTAACATTTCATATAATGGTTTGGTGCTGATGAACTCTTTAAATTTTTTTCTTGTCTGGGAAGCTCTTTATCTGCCCTTCGATTCTAAATTATAGCTTTGCTGAGTAGAGCAATCTTGGCTGTAGGTCCTTGCTTTTCATGACTCTGAGTATGTCTTACCAATCCTTTCTAGCCTGCAAAGTTTCTTTTGAGAACATAGCTGACATTCTTATGAGAACTCCCCTGTAGGTAACTAACTGCTTTTTTTTTTTTTTTTTTGCTGCTTTTAAGATTCTCTCTTTATCTTTGGTCTTTTGGCATTTTAATTTTGATGTGTCTTGGCTGTGGTCCTCTTTATATCTGTCTTATTGGGACTCTGTACTTCCTAGATTTGTATATCTATTCCCTTCACCAAATTAGGGAAGTTTTCTTTCATTATTTTTTCATATACGTTTTCAATTTCTTGCTCTGTCTCTTCTTCTGGCACCCTTGTGATGTGAGTGTTGTAATGCTTGAAGTTATCCCAGAGACTCCTTAGCCTATCGTTTGTTTTTTTTTTTTTAACTTTTTTCTTCTTGCTGTTCTGATTAAATTTTTTAGTAATATATTGATTATGCTATTATAATTGTATTATAGTTGTCCCATTTCCCTCCCTTTATTTCCCTCTGCCTTGCACACCCCCTCCCACCCATATTCCTTGCCCCTTTAGTTCATGTCCATGGATCATACATATAAGTTCTTTGGCTCTACATTTCCTATAGTATTAACTTCCCCCCGTCTATTTTCTACCTACCATTTATGCTATTTATACTCTGTACCCTTTCCCTCTCTCTTCCCCTCCCCTGCTGATAACCCTCCATGCTATCTCCATTTCTGTGATTCTGTTCCTGTTCTAGTTGTTTTGCTTAGTTTGTTTTTGTTTTTGTTTTAAGTGTGGTTGTTCATGAGTTGTTGTTTTATGGTTCATATTTTTTATCTTCTTTTTCTTAGATAAATCTATTTAACATTTCATATAATAAGTGCTTGATGATGATGAACTCCTTTAACTTGACCTTATCTGAGAAGCACTTTATCTGGCCTCCCATTCTAAATGATGGCTTTGCTGGATAGAGTCATCTTGGATGTAGGTCCTTGCCTTTCATGACTTGGAATACTTCTTTCCAGCCCCTTCTTTGCCTGTAAGGTCTCTTTTGAGAAATCAGCTGACAGTCTTATGGGATCTCCTTTGTAGGTTAACTGTCTCCTCTTCTCTTGCTGTTTTGAAGATTCTCTCCTCTTTAATCTTAGATAAGATTAAACCGTGGTCTGGTGTGGGGCTAGGACCCCTCACTCCTGACATACCCCTCCTAATTTTTATCTACCACACATGGGTATGGGACTATCTATTCCACATCTCTACCCCTCCTACCTGTTTGAATGAGTGTGACTTCTTTACTGCCTTGGTTGTCAGACTTCCATACAGCTCGATTTTTTTTACGATTCTGTGTGATACTTATTTTGTAGTTTAGTTGTAATTTTTGCTGTGGTTGTGCAAGTAGGTGAGCTGTTTTTACTTAGGCCTCCATCTTGACTGGTAGTCAGAGCCAGAATATATTTTAATGTAATCTGCCTATGTTAAGCTGCTACATGTGACAAATAGTATACAAGCAGACAAACTTTTTTCTGTCCTTTTAAATCAGTAGCTGTATAGGTAGTTGTGTCAGTAGGGACCAACAGATTGGGTGTACTGGAGGGAATGATGGTGCTATTAGGAACAGTGACAATATATCAAGTTGGTCAAATTGTAGTTGTGTAGGACACAAGTATTATTTTACACTATAATTTTTTTAAAGGATTTGGACGTGGCAGAGGGAGAGGGGCAGGAAGATTCTCAACCCAAGGCCTGGGGTAAGTTTAGTTATCCTGTTTTTGTAGTTACTGCCTTCCCTAGTTGTTACTCTAAGGTTTTACTTTTTCTTTTCTGTACCAACTTTATTCTGGTGAGTCAGATATTTTCTATACTTAAGAAGAGAAAGTAGTAAAAAGGTAAAATAGTGCAAATGAAATTGTATTGCAATGGGCCTTACTCAGACCAGAGTTTTTAGCCTTGATTCTGTTGACATTTTGGATTGGATAATAGTTTGTTGAGGTGGTGTGGTGTCCTTTACATTGTAGGATGTTTAGCAACATCCCTGGCCTTTTTCTGCTAGATACTGGTAGCACCCCTTCTCAAGTTGTGACAGTCAGAAATGTCTCCAGACATTGCCACATGTTTCCTGGGAGGGAGGTGCACAGTTACCCCAGCTGAAAACCACTGCATAAGAGTCATGTTGGTAAATCCAGCAATAGTCTTTGAGTGGGAAATAAATGCAATGTTTATTTATGTCAAAGTGATAGTTTTTTCCTTGGATTGTAATGGTGAATGGTGACCATACTGTTACTAAGTAAGTGGTATAATCAGTCTCATTATCTCCTACTGTTCTTTTCCTTTTTGGTGCGCCTAAAACATTAGCTTCCCCTAGATATTTAGAAAAAAGTTTTCAAGCATTTTCCACAAGCCATGTGTAGATTATAGTCAAGAAAGGAAGGGAATTGGTTCTGGGAAAAGCCCTTTGTCTTTCCATATCCTTAGGACAGCACTGGTATGGGTCCCTCCCCCTTAGGTGGTACCTCCTGCCATCTGTTTTTTGCCAGAGCTCCCTGTAGATAAAGGAAGAGTGGAAACACTGGGAGCAAACTCTTAAAAATTTATGCCCAGCCCAGTAGTTTTAAACTGTTTTGTGGATTTTACTGTTCATCAAGAACATTATTTGTGATTTTTTAAAAAGCTAATGATATCTTAATTAAGCTGGAAAGAAAATTCTGTTGTGAAAATTTCAGAGGTAGTACGTAATTTGGCTCTAGTTAGACCTCTGCGGCAGGGGAATTTAGGATTTTAATGAGCCAAAGAAGAGGTATTGGACAACACATTTTTGTTTCTTGTTCAAAACATTTATATCTATTGTTTCAATTAAAAAAAAAAAAGGCTCAGACACAACTGTTGTAAAAGGTTCAAAGCCAAACTTGGATTTTGACTTCAAAAGAAAAGAATTGCAATTTAAGTCTGGATTTAGTTTTCAGGGTGACTTTTCATAGAGTCCTCGTGCTGTCTGCAGTGATTATGTATCCACACCTGTTTTAGGATGCAGAGGACAGCAGTTTAGGGAAATGAGGGTATCTTATTGTGCAAGAGTTTATGGAAGGTCCCTAGAGAATTCTGCTTTTCAGAAGATCTGTATCCAAATAGCCAGAAGCATTTAGCTATAATTAAATAGGAGAATAACGGTGAGGTTTCTTATAGTGGCTCTTAGAAGGGACAGAGCTTGCTTTGGGAAGATGATGTACAGTTAATTTTGTGATTTTGGTGATTCCTTCATTTGCCTTTATTCTTTATTTCAAACCCCAGGACATATAATCCTGCAGATTGTTCAGATTCTCCATCTGTAGATGGGTGTGGGACAAAGCCAGTAGTTTGGGAAGCTGCTCAGAATGGTGCAGATGAGGGAAGTGGTAAGTGCCTGTTCTCATCAGAGATGTGTTTTAAATGTTCAAGTTAACATGCATACAAAGATGACATCAAAGTCCGCTGATGGAGAATAATGAAAAACAGCCTGCTGTCCTGCCTTTGAGACTACTGTTAGCTTGTTCTTACACCTCCAAAGTCTCTCATTTACAAATCTCATTGATGAGAAGGTATTTGATTTTTTTTCCTTTCTGCACTCTGAGGAAGCGGTTGTAATCAGTGTGTGTAAATCGGCACAAATCCACACTCAAATCTCAGTATGTCAGGGATTTTTTATTTTATTAAAATTTATTTTTTGTTACAGTCAACATTCAATATTATATTAGTTTCACATGTACAACATAGTGGTTAGACATTTATATAACTGATGAAGTGATTCCTCTGATAAATCTAGTTACCCCCATCAGTGTGTCAGGGATTTATAGAATTTCTTAGGAAAACACTTCTTATGGAAAGTACTTAGCATTGTTAATAGCGGACACTAAAATTTGGCCAGATAAAGTGGTAGATGATAGATGGGTTTAAGACAGCAATTACTTTTGTAGGTTTTTCTGTCTCCTGCTATTTTTGGATTATTTATTTTCTGAAATTCATGGGTAGATAATTGTTAATTGGGCATGTTTATTTAATAGAGGTCTTTGGAAGATTTGTTCATGATAATAACTCATGATTGTATTCATTAAGAAATAATTTGATACTTCTATATAATATCAACTCTGGTAAAAAGAAGTAAGACAGTATATCACAGAAACACAATCAATGAACTGGAAACCAAAGATTATGTAGAGATGATTAACTACGGTTATAAATGATAGTTTGAAAAGACTAGGTAAATTCATAAACATTGTTAGACTAATCAAGGGAAGGAGAAGCAGCATAAATAATTGGTCAGAGGAATAATAAAAAGAATATTGATCTTAATTATGTTATTACAGATATTAAAAGATCGTAGACAGATACTTTATGTCAATACATTTTGTGCTAACATTTGAAATTAGCCTCACTTTCAACACAGATGTAAAGTCTTAAGCCAAAATGCTAGAAAACAACCAAAGTGTCGCAGGTTGAATTCTCAGTCAGGGTACATGCCTGGGTTGCAGGCCATGACCCCCAGCAACCACACATTGATGTTTCTCTCTCTCTATATCCCTCCCTTCCCTCTCTAAAAATAAATAAATAAAATCTTTAAAAAATGCTAGAAAACAATTCATGAAGATAGAAAAAGGACAATACACATCGTAGCCATGTTAAATTTATACCTGATATTCAAATTTGTTTAACATTTAAAGAACAGTCAACTCCTAGATATTTACTCAGAATAATAGAAGACTAGATTCACAGAAATGTTCTCTATAGAAGTGTAACTAATAACAGCTAAAAACTGGAAACCAAATGTCTTTTCAGTGGATAAGTAAAATGTTTATATATCCATACAATGGAATATTCATTCTGCCATAAAAAATGAATGAAGTACTGATACATGCTGCAGCGTGAATGAACCTTGAAAACATTATTCTGAGTGAAGGAAGCCAGTAGTAAAGAACCATATATTTTATACTGTATGACTTCATTTATGTGAAATGTCCAGAGTAGGCAATTACATAGAGACAGAAAGTAGATCGGTAATTGCCAAGAGCTTGGAACCTTTGGGAAAAATAGGTACTGACTACTAATATGTTCAAGATAACTTTTCTTTAAGATTTTATTTATTTTTTAGAGCGAGGAAGGAAGGGAGCAAGAATTCTAGAGAGATAAATATCAATGTGTGATTACTGTCACACACCTCCTACCGGGGACCTGGCCTGCAGCCCAGGCATATGCCCTGACTGGGAATCAAACTGGTGACCCTTTGGTTCGCAGGCCAGCACTTAGTCCCCTGAGCCACACCAGCCAGGGCAAGATTACTTTTTGAAATGATGAAAATATTCTGGAATAGATGATCGTAATGGTTGCACAACTTGTGAATATACTAAAAACTACTCAATTGAATACTTTAAAAGGATGGATTTTATGCTGCATTATATCTCAACAAAAATGAGTTTTATGCATTCCTTTAACAGATGAAAGGAAAAAATTCACAACTTTTCAATAAGGAAAGTTTTCAACAAAACCAATATCCATCTTGTTTTTGTTTTAATACTTACCTGAGAATAAATTTATTGATTTTAGAGAGAGAGGAAGGGAGAGAGTGAGTGAAACATTGATGTGAGAGAGAAACATAGATTGGTTGCTTCCCGTACACGCCCCAACTGGAGATCAAACCTGCAATGTTTTGGTGTATGAGATGATTGTCTAACCAACTTAGCCACCAGGCCAGGGCCATTCTGATTTTTTTAGAAAGCCAGGTGAATCTGGACTACAAGGAAACTTCCTTAATCAAATAAAGGCCATCTATAAAACTTATTGTAAACACTACAGTTAATGGTGATGTGTTGAATGTTTTTCTCCTGGAACAAGATAAAAGGGCTTATTCTCACTCTTTCTATTATTACTGTACCAGAGGTTTTAGCCATTGCAGTAAGGAATAAAGAAAACTCAGAGGGGTGAAAAGGAAGGGAAAAAACCCCTGTCATTTTTGATGATACAAAAAAATCTATAGATAAATTATTAAAATTAAAGTGACTTTTAAAAGGTACTACATAGAAGTTCAATAAACATATTTCTGCAAACCGTTAACAAAGAGAAAATGGGAAAAAATTTGGTAGCCTCAAAGAAACACCAGATGTCTCCCTGGGCAGTGTGACTCAGTGGATTGAGCACCGGCCTGAGAACCAGGGAGTTGCTGGTTTGATTCCCAGTCAGGGCACATGCCTGGGTGGAGGGCCAAGTCCCCCAGTAGGGGGCACGAGAGAGGCAACCGTTCATTGTTGTTTCTTTCCCTCTTTCTCCCTCACTTTCCCTCTGTCTAAATATAAATAAATAAAATCTTTAAAAAAAATAGTTTACTACATTAAAAAAAAACTCCAAATGTCTATGAAGAAGTCTAATGATATGCCAGATGGTAAGACTGTGAAAACATAAAATATATAAACTCATACTAAAATATAAAATCAAGATTCAATAAAATAAGTGCAAGGATATAACATTTTATATATTTGCATATACTGTTTTTGAAGCTTAGTTTTTACTGACTTGCTCTTAAGATTTTTTTTTTGTTTTAGAGAGAGGGAAGGGAAGAAGAGGCGGAGAGAAACATCAATGTGTGGTTGCCTCTCATGTGACCCCTACTGGGGACCTGGCTTGCAGTGCAGGCATGTGCTCTGACGTGGAATTGAACTAGTGACCCTTTGGTTTGCAGGCTGGCATTCAATCCATTGAGCCACACCAGCTAGGACATTCTTTGGATTTATTAATCCACGGTAGTCCACCACATCAAAATTATCCCCACTGTTTTATAAAGTGAGGTGTTTATAAAAACTTTTTTTAAAAAGATTTTATTTATTTATTTTCAGAGAGGGAAGGGAGGGAGATAGAGAGAGAAACATCAATGTGTGATTGCTGGAGGTCATGGCCTGCAACCCAGGCATGTACCCTGACTGGGAATCGAACCTGTATAAAAACTTTTAAAATATGTACAGAATATATAAAGAAGTCTCACAACTCATTAATAAGAAAGCAAACAACCCCTCCTAAAAAACAAATGAGCAATTAAAAATGAACAAAAAAATAGAAAAATACATTTTGTAGAAATGGGTTGTAGTATATTAAGTACTTTGCAAATGGTCTTAATCTCAGTGAATTCTACATTTCAAAAGGATTAACATGGCCCTGACCTGTGGCTCATTCATTTGGTTGGGTGTCACCCCACAAAGCAAAAGGTCTCTGGTTCGATTCTAGTCAGGGAATATACTTGGGGTGCAGGTGCAGTCCTTGGACCTGTCGAGTATGAGAGGCAACTGATCACTGTTTCTCTCTCTCTTTTTCTCCCTCCCTTCTCTTCTATCTAAAAAGAAATAAAATATTGGAAATAAATAAATAAATAAATAAATAGAGAGGGTTAACATAGTATATTTTGTGTAATGTGTATTTTATCATAATAAAAAAAATGCCATAGAACTTAACAAAAAATTTGGCATAAACGCTATGTGTGTCTATTATGTTGTACTATAATTATGTGAGATGTAATTATCCAGGATACTGGGTGAAAGGTAACTTCTTTTGAATCTATTTCTGAATAAAGATGAGTGAAAGATTTGAACACATGTTTCACAAAGAAAGATATTTGAATGGCAAATAAGCCTACAAAACACTCTCATGTTCACTAGTCATTGGGGAAGTACAAAGTAAAATCACCATAGGTTACTGCTATCCATCCATTAAAATAGCTTTAAGAGAAAACTGACAGTACCAAGTGTGAGTGAAGATGGCAAAGTAATTTGAACTCATAAATTTCTCATGGGAAAGCATACATTTAACATGGAATCTGAAAATCCCAATAGTAGGTTTTTATTGAAGAGGAAAGAAAACACACAAAAACCTGCATGTGATGTTTATAGCAGCTTTATTCATAATCACCGAATTTTATTTTATTTTTTTTTAGAGAGAGATAGGGGAAGGGGGGGAGAAGAGAGGGAGAGAAACATCAATGTGCGGTTGCCTCTTAGGTGGCCCCCACTGGGACCTGGCCTGCAACCCAGGGATGTGCCCTGACTGGGAATCGAACCAGTGACCCTTTGGTTCACAGCCCGCGCTCAATCCGCTGAGCTACATCAGCCAGGGCATAATCACTGAATTTTAAATCAAGTGTTGAAACAATGTTGAATTAGTTGATTAACTGCTATTTTCCTTTTTTCTTATTCTGCCTCTTTTTTTTCTCCTGTTTTCTGTTTCCACTTTCATTTCATGCTCCTTTCCCTCATTTTCATTTAATAGCAGCTTCCTTACTGAAAAACATTTATAAGCATATTGTGTTTGATGCAGAATACAATTAAAGGGTGTCTGTTCACCTGATGGGGTGGTATTTCTCTGGAGACCTCACAGAATGCTA